GTCACCTTCGTTAAATAAAGAATATTGGATTGTATTGTATTGTTCTTTTGCTTATGGTGAGTGGTTGTAGATTACGCTGTTTCAAGTCATACAAATGATCCCTGCGTAGTGACCTGAAAAATTAAACGCTTTGTTAATGCATTTGAAATATGTGAAGCTACATGATCAGAAAAACTTAACATCTCATCGCCCGCGATCTCCCTTTGCTAAGCAAGAAATGCGAGCTGGTCACCAAATGTCAACATGATAACAATGCCTGAGAAAACAGTGACAGAAAGCGCCGTTTAAAACACCGCTGTATGCCAAATGTTAACGTTTGAAAACAGAGCTCTGTTCCAGCAGAACATTCAATCTAACAATATAGCTTAGTGCATCAAACTCGAGTTACAAATGTTCGTCTTTCCATGTATGAATTTCTTCGGATATTTATACATTGAGAACTACTGAGAATAGTGAAATGCTTTGCATATTTTAGGTAGAGAACTACTGACAAAGACGCAACTTTCCATATACCGATAAGTAAACATATCTTTTCAGATTTTCGGAGGTTCGCACGTTCCAGCGTGTGTACATATGAGGAGGGGGGCATTGGGGCCTCTGGGAAAGCGCAAAACCGGAGGAAAAAACCTCCAAAACCGAAAAACCGATCCAAAAAACGGTCAAAACCGCAAAACCGAAAATTCCAAAGCCCCCCTCTTGAGGATATTCCCTCGCTCAGCAATTCATTCATTCTACAGAAAAACAATTATTGTGAAAACTGACTGAGTAGTGACAAAGATACTAATTTACGCCCACGATAACAACGATGATGATGGCATTAATCTTTATGGAAGATATCAACTTCTTTTGAAATCTTAATTTTAAGAATATAAAAAGTGCTAGAAACGATACTGTTTTCATATCCTGGAAATTCGATAGAAGATGCAAGTTGGCCCATCCTCAGAGACCAAGAGGAAAATAATCGGACGCACAGAATAAACGGAGGCGGTTGCCCGTCATTATTTCATATCTGTTTTTCAATGGTGGAAATAGATGTCATGTAATTTCTGGGGCACCTCTCCCTTAAGACAAAAATATGAGCCTCGTTTAAGTGGTTTGAAACTTTTCTTCCATTAAAAATTGTGAAAAGAGTTCTAGATCTGTTCATTGAAAAAAAAATAGGCCAGTGACTCCATCCTTCATTTGCTTCAGCTTCAGTAAGGTTCCTCATGGCTCTTGCATTTTCAGTTAGTTAGTCACAGTAACGAATACATCGTCATTGTCATGCGTCATGCTGGTTTATGATGAAATTAAGCAAAAGTGTGGTCTTTAAACGCACCTGATGATGAACCTAACAACCGTTTTAGTTAACCCAGCCTGAGTCATCACAACAAAAGTCACTCCGGTGAAAAGGATGTAAAAACAAGTACTTAGACGGCGAAGAGGAAGTTAAAGCTGAGGTCTGCACTTACAGACCGGGTCCCGTTAGGATAAATGACCCAAACTGTCAGAGCTTATCTGAGTTTTTCCAGCTCGCAGCTCTAAGGGATTATGGTTATTGCTTCTCACATTGGATGGATGCCAGTTCATTCCAGGTACCTACGTTCTTTCACGGTTCCTTTATGGTTTTCCAGCACCCATCTATTTCCCCCGGTTGGATAGCTATTGGCACCGTTAAACTAAAGAAACTTTGATTGATCAAAGCCACTAAGCAATGACCCCGGCTTGGACTTAAATCACAATGCTCCGATCCATAGTCTAGGGCGCCAACCCTTAGACTTACTACCTCGTCTACCAACTAGTTGCTTTCGGGAGACTAATATCCCATTCACACCAGCAAAACGTGTTTTGTTAAACCGGGCTTAACCGAATGAAAATCAGAGACAGAGAATTGAAAAACTGAATTCTCGAATAGGATTCAATCAATCACTAACTAGCAAAACCAGCAAAACGTGTTTTGTTAAACCGGGCTTAACCGAATGAAAATCAGAGACAGAGAATTGAAAAACTGAATTCTCCATAGGATTCAATCAATCACTAACTAGTACTTTCAATGTGCTAACTTTAGAGTCGACAAAAATCAGTTTATGCAGCTTCCAGTGAAGAAAACTGTTTGAATCCATTTTAGGACATGTTTAAGCTTTGGTGTGAATGGAATATAAGTTAACTGTTTAATTTTTCGAAGATTATGTCAATATGACAATTCCTTATTAAATATTTATGAATTTCATCCAGAGGCTTACTATCAGTAGAAATCATTTTGAATGAAGGGGTAAAGCCTGGAGAAGGGACAAATGAGTTAAACATGGCGCGGAGAGATATTCAATCAGCAGTGACTTTACCTCCTAACAATTTGTCTTTTTACAGTAAAATTCATTTATTATTCAATAGAAAATTTGGATCAGGTATCAAATCCGTTGAATGTGAGGATCTTTATTTTTGTAGCTCACCTTTAGTTTAAAAGGTATACAACTGTTCGATCTTGTGCCAAGCTTGTCTTCAAACTGTTGTAGAGGATTACTCACTTATTTTTAATTACAAGATAAGTTTTATGTGAGCCAGCGGTCACAGGGAGCCTTAGAGAGGCTTTTATCCCACTGTGGTATCCGCCTGGAAAGTTCTAAAACTGTCTGAAATAGGGGACACCGGAAATGGCGTGCGTACTGTTCTTAAGTGAGTAAATGAGATTGCTTTGTGACAATGTACAGTACAACAATTAGTGCCACAGCGTTTATTATTCTAATCATGACGAGAGCTTACAAAAAAACTGCTTTTGTTCAGTTTTGTTCAGACAAGGACGTACTTCCTGAATAGATTAAAGACCTCAATAGAATTATTTAGATTCACGTGTAATTGGAGGCTATTAGATGTCAATTCAACAGGCGTCGTCTGCTCCTTCAAGGATTATGGATTATCTTTGCTTTTTCACAGTCACAGGAGCTTCTGAGCTGTAGTTGGGAAGTTTCCATCAAAAGATTCCATCTGCGTGTCGAGGATTTTAATTTAAAATGGGAAAAACAGTTAGGGCGTCTAATTAGGCAAATCATAATGACAACGAAATTTTTTTTTGTTCAGCTATAATTGCGAACCTTTTGTTAATACTATTGGTCTCGCCCTGATTATGGTTTTTAAGCGACTCAGATAAAAATCGCTTGGCAATTTCCATTTAATTGAAGCATTCACAATATCTTTTGTCCATGTCGAGTCTCCGTCTTAATATTCATATCTTTTGTCAGCCTAGACGGTCCTGCACCCACGCTAAGTAAACAGTATTTGAGATGTTTTGCATTTAGTCTTTATTCCGAAACTTGGGAAACTTCTAGTCAAATGATGAAAATATCCAGCATAAACTGAACAGCATGGCGCACTTGGTCAATTACTGCCACCATCTATAAGTAAGGTTTGTTTTGCTTTTGTTTTTGAGACAGAGATAAGACGATTGAGATAGAGAGAGTGAGCCCGTCATGTTAAATACATCTGCATATTATGTATACATGAAACCTTATGCACAATATTCACTGGATGGTTTACTCAAACTGAGTAAACATTCATTTAAAGAGAGGAAGAGTTGACTCTTCATTTATATCGCTTAGCAACGGAAAGAAAAGTTTATGTAGATAAAACCGATAATCTTATCAGAGTTTTAAGTGCTGACGAAAGATCATCGCCGCGAAAGGTTGTTTTCGCTCATTCTTGTGCCGGCTAATCAACGTCTCGTAGCGAAGATCCACCTTTAAGTCAAAAATAGTGGATTGACTTTATAATAATCGAAGGGATGTCACATACCGCCTAAGTGCTGCTGTGAGCCAGATTTATTGTCAATTTTATTGGTTATAAAGTCATGGATTGTCAATCCCACCGCATCAACACCGTAGAACATCGGCCACCTTCGTTGTCTGTATCTTCCGCGCAAGGAGAAACAGAAAGAAAGCGAAGATCATCAACAAACGCGTCCCAACATTCTGGTGTCAATAGGTTTTCTCCTGACAGGAGCGACCGAAGGAAGCCATCCAGTATAGCGACGCCATTCCTGTATTCTTCTAGCGGTCGCAAAGTATCTAGCAGTGTATCTGCAAGGCTCGACCCCATAGACACTGCGGCCTCGAAGAACAAGGAAAGTGAAATCTTACCGACCTATCGAATGGCACCGCAAGCCGACAGAAAATTTCGACCTCAAGTTGTCAAGAAAATCATGGATGAAGCTTTTGAAGAGAGCCTTGACGCACTGAACGGGTATGATTCAGTGAAATGTCGCGCGCTTACTACACAAGTCTGCGAAGATATCAAACAAAGGGTAAAATGGCTGAATTTTGAACGCTGTAAGCTAATTTGTTTGGTGCATATTGGCTCGGTTAACGGTCAAGGTATGAGAGTAGCTAGCCAGTGTCTCTGGGATCACACAGTAGATAACTTTGCTTCTACAACATACAGTAAGGGCGACATTTTCGCGGTCGCATTACTCTTTGGAGTTTACAAGGAGTAATTCATTTGACCGCTGTTCTTTTCCAATGGCCATAAGAAACTGTTTTGGTAAAACTAGGAACATTAACCGACTGTAAATAGTATTAATATAAGGTCTGATGTATGCATGTACAGTCATATAGAAGGATAAGGAAGAGTTGGCCGATATAATATGGCAGCCTATTGAGTAACTAAATAACATTTCCAGTGGTGGTAGTTTCCGATATATTTGAAAACTGCATCAAAATCCTCTCGTCAGAATAACCTCAATACTGATTCAACTTCTATTTTTACTGCAACGTGTCCTTGCACAAATTGGATCTTGCGATGGAATGGTTTTTATTTCTAATCTAATATTGCTGAATTGTGTTTCAACATTCCATTATTATTACTCTCCTTATGTATTAACGGATTACAATTGAGCTACTTATAATAAAATCGTTAATTTAGCCCATGCAGCGGTTAAGACAATGAACGCAAAGGATATTTCAAATCACTACAGGAAAACAAAATAAATAATAAATGTTAGGATAAATAAGTATTTTCTCTTATTATAAAGCATCGAATTCTCCGATACACCAATCACAGCTTGAGATTCAAACACAAGAAAAGGAACCACTGGAGGCAGAAGGCGGGAACTTTATTTATCATGTAGCTGGTACCACCTGCGGGCATTATGAAGCGAATCCTGTGTTCTAATTGGCTACCCGAACAGGCAAGATGGGCCCATCTTGCCCGCTGAAGATTGCCCGCTCGAGATTGCCCGCTCGAGATTGCCCGCTCGAGATTGCCCGCTCGAGATTGCCCGCTTTGATCCCGGGCAGAAAAAAAGTGCGTGGAGCGGACTAACACTGAAAATGTGTAACTTCATACAATGCTAGGGTTGAAGTCGTAAAAAGTGGCAGAGGACGGTCAAACTGATAAGGAAAACATAAACGACCCTCGTGGGTTTATTGGGCTTCAAACACGGTTGGCTTTCTTTCCCAGCCCTCGAAATAATCAAGTATTTTTTATGCATATTAAAGCAAAATCTTTTTGCTTTATACTAAATCCTTTATTGACCAAGCTTTTTCTGCCAAGGTGGCTGGATATCAACCTTTTTTTTTTGCGATTTTAAACACAAATAAGAACTCGGCCAATCTTGACCTCACGCCTGGTCAATAACCTATATTAAATGTTGAAATTTGAATTGTACCTGGGACAAAGAAAACTATGCCGAGCTGAAATCCAAGGAAAAACTTTCACGAAAGTCTTCTATCACAGAAAACAGAGATACAGAGAATCTGTTTTCGAGCACATCACTCTACAGTACCATAAACTGCTTTGACAAGTTATTTCGTCATTAGGTGAGTAAAAAAGTCAAAAAAGAGAGGAAGAGAGGAGGTCATTTTTAGCTTGAACGCTGAATAGGAAAATATTTTTTCAAAGGAATCGTTACAGGGATATGCGTTAAAAAGTTGACTTTTTGGATATAAATTTGAAGAAATTTTGAACGTGATGTTGATTGAGAGTAGAGAAGCTGAAATAGAATTGGATAATTTGTATCGAGTGTCGAAACTGTCGCGACTGATTAAAAGCAAAAGATCCCAATTGTCCTTGCTTGAAGAGATTTGAACAGTTCGTATACATGCTGAAAAACATTACAGCAACTGGTAAGGCTGAGAGAGGATCGTAATCTGTTAATAGGGTAACAATAAGGAAAGTTGAGTTGGTGAGGGCGTGTTATTCAGTGAGCTGCAGATACCAGATAGTGAGGCTATGCAAGATGTGATAAAACAGTGAAGTTTCCGGCCTTTGTCATGACCCCATCTCAAAAATCAAACCCCAATCCTCAAGTATACCTTGTCGCAGAAAGAGAGTGAAATGAACACTGCGACTGGAAATCAAAGGGGCACTCACTGAGGAAAAGGTTTTTTATTTTTGCCGACTTATCTTTTTAAAATCTCCAGACAGAAGACAGAAGAAGACAAATTTCCTCGATAGTTTCCCAAGCCACGAGATCCCTAAATGTATCCTTGCCTCTTTTGATCTATGATTGTCGTATAAATAAAAATATACAATTCACTAGTGTTGTTAAAGAGGAGAGAAATTTTCTTTCATAGAGAACAATGTATACATGTGTGCTTAGCCTGTATTTACAGCCATCTTAATACTAAAATAGACAGTATGATGTACACATGGATACGCTGTGTATAATTTAATTAGAATACTGCTTATCCTCGAGTAAGTGCCCCCGGTGCTTACTCAAAATTTTGGCTGAAAGGAGGGGCGCTAAATGGAAGGAGGGTGCTAAATAAGGGGGCACCTGTTACGAAACTACAAAGCCATACAAATGCCGCTGTCGTTGAAGCTTAAAAATTGACAAATGAAGTGGTGATTGAAACAGGTTTTCCTCGTATTTCAGGAAAGTGAGGTAGGAGGGGCGCTTGTTTTATTTTATGGCCTTTGGGGTTGGGTTTTTATTAGGGGAAGGATAATCATTTGAACGTGGGCGCTTATTCGAGGAAATACGGTCTCGAAAGTCTCAGGTTGGTAAACAATCTTTGTATTTAATTCCTACCGCCCTAGAAATGAGTAATCATTAGTAGTTCAAATTTTGATCGATTGGTTATTCCGCGTTACATGTTCGGTACAAAATTATCCGTTATCCCCACAAACGTCGTCTCCAGTTGGTCCGTCGTATTTAATGATCGGTCCGCAATCTTTAATAAGATGTATTCTCTCCCAGACTCATGGGGCCACATTTTAGCATATGAGATCCTCACGTAACTCGCTCCTTTGCTTCGCATATCTACGAGTGCAAACTATCAATATCGCATCTACAAAACGTGCGAAAATCAGACACATTGCTATACCCCTCCGAGACCTCTGAGTCACGGTGAAAAAGCCGATTTTCCTTGACAACAGCAAATCGGATATGGCAGCTGAAAGAGGCTGTGAGTGGTTAGCCTCTCTTTAACTCGTTGCACCTGTACTCATTGTTTTCAGCGGAGAAAGAAGTACCAATCGTAGATTGCCTGCCCTCTAGCTTCATCTTGACGGTTTCAGGGTCGGTTTTCAAAACAGGGGTGGGATTATAGGATGACGCTGACTTCCTGTAAAGATGATCTATGAGTGAACATGGATTCTTAAAGTCAATAACAAATCACTCGAGGCTATTTCGTGTTTGAATGTTGGCAAGAGTTTGGGGTAGCCACGCTAAAACAAAAAATTACAATGGCCATTTTCATGCCAAGGACTTGCGGACTCGTGACGTTGCCATGTGCAGAAAGCCGATAGAGATTGGTGGTCAATAAAGTAAAGGTGCCTGAGAGTGCAGGTCATATTTAGTTCATTCGCTCTGACGAAGGGCTAACGCTCGAAACGTTAGCTTTTTAACTTGCTACGGTGGCCAATTTACTATTTCAACTTACTTGATATAACCTATTACCTTGTTACCCCCACCGACGCAGCACCACAGTTTCTTTGAAACTGTCATCCTTTATTCATATTTAGATAAGCTCGCAGCTTGTTACTATCAGGTGTCTCAATAAAGGCTTTGAACTTGAGTCTGTATGGAATTATTCACCAGTGATTGTGCCTCAAGGTTTCCTGAGAAAAATTCAACGAGCGTATCGACTAATATAACTAAAGTCAAGACTTTTTTAGTATTTTAATCCAGCTTTTATGCTAAATCTCTTTTACGAAACATTTTGACCAAGAAATTTTCGAATCGAAGGTGCTGTTGTTTTAATCAACTTTGAATATGTATTATAAATTTATCCCGTTACGTCTCTGACAGTAGATATGTTGCGAATACTCTGTTCTCAAGCTCAAGATCTCCAAATGCAACATTTTCCCCCAAAATGCAAGAAGGGTTTATGGTTTTAAAGTTTTCTATTGCTATTCAAGCTTTTTAAGTACGAACAGCGAATCAGTTTTAATATGCAAATCAATTCATGGGGACGTTTCCTCTAGGGATAAAAGTGACAACCGAAATTGTGTCAGTAAACTTATGCGCGCCAAGTTTGCTGTGAAATATGGTCTAGTTTGCTTTTTAAAAAACAGCCATAAAACTGTAAAAAACGAAAAGCTGTAAAGGTTGTTGATATCATTAACTCTTTCAGGGATACCGCTTGAAACTAACCAAACCACCCTATGAGATCAACAAAGGTTCAATAATTTGGTTTTAACACCTAGAGGCATTGTTTGTATTGAAAAAAAAAAAAAAAAAAAAAAAAAAAAAAAAAAAAAAAAAAAAAAAGAAACCTAAAGAACCAGTTGTATGTATCGTTCACAAAATTAGTATCATGTGCCTGTTTATTTATAGATATCATAAAAAGCAAGAGTTCATACTTTCCAAGTTAGAAATAAATGTTTGGGAAAAATACTGCAAGATTATACCGGTTATGTTTGGGAGGCAACCACAACCAAATTATTTAGCATTTTGTGACACCTGCAGTAATGAATATTTCAGTAGTTTGTTTTTCAAGACAATAAACGGTTTGCTGGCTTCTTTTTAATGCTTAAATGACCAAAATATTAGTTTGAGCAGAGTATAAATGGAAAGAAATGCTGAAAATGAGGGGATCTTGTGAATGTTTTTTGCAAACTGATTTAACACCTTTACTTATTACTGAGTTGAAATCTCTATGTCCCGCCTATTGTCTCTGTTTTCGCAATAGGGACAAAAGTTCCAGTTTTTCCTTAGGGTAAAAGACTGCTGTTTCCTGCGAACCTCCGATGAAAACAAAAGAATTTCCTTTCTATACATATACCATTCATTTTCTTGTTTCCCGTTAAAAATTAAACGTTCGAGGCAGCTTTCAAAGGATGAAAAATATTGCATTTATCTTAAGTCTTTTGATGTGCTCTACGCCGGCTACCGACTTTGCAACCATACACAGTAGTCAGACTGGAGAGATATCATCAACTGTACATTTGTTAAAAAATTGCAGAAAAAGTTTCACCCAATTAGGAAATGAATATTCTCTTTCCCGAAAGATGTATATCTGCAACATTGATTTACGCTTGTCGGCGAGATAACAAATTTCAAGCACACTTTTCATCACAGAAATGTTCTAGAAGGAAATTAAGATGCGATATTTATTTAAGTTCCAGATGACAGGTGTTTTCTCTAAAACTGACAGCCAAAAAGCCACTCTTTTAACGGACGAGTTGTGATCATATATCACCATGAAACCTGTCATTTTACAAAGAAGCGTAAATATTTTAAACTTTACTGTTGCGAGCTAAATTGATGCTGAAAGGTTGGCGAACTTTCGTGATCTGACAACACAGAGTGCGCAAAATGGATGTGATATAATAACAGTAATATTCGAGAGTGCATTCACTATCGGGTTTTGCTTTCTAACGTAAGCTCCGAATTGAAATAAGAAGTTTCTGCATATTTTTCATCCAATTTAGTGGCTATCCATAACCTAGTTACCGCACTTTATTTTTGCTATCAAGTTAGATTTCGATTCTTTGAACGCGCTATTTTTTTCCACGCGAGATACGTAAATCGGGCCGACAATTTACGAATGGTAATTCTCTTCTTTCCTTCCTATGTTTTTCACGAAACTAACTGTGTTGTCACAAATTCAATCATAAACAATACCACCAACCGGGAGCTAACCGGCGTTATCTTTTTTGTCAGCCTCTAAGTACCTATAAACGCTGGTTTCCTAATTTTCTTGAACAATATCTCGCCATGCATTTAGCGCGGTTGTTTTGTGCAGACAATAAATTTCCATGTTTCCTTGAACATTTATACCGTGCTGATATGTAAATGAAAAGATTCACCAAACAAATTTAATCCAAACCCATTTTCAATAGTGAAATGGGCAATGAGATACATACTTTATTACGAAAGATTGCAATTTACAATTTTACTGTAAAAGCAAAAGAATAACATTAACATAACCCTTCCAAACGCTAAAACTGTAATCATTAAAATCTTTTTTCTTCGTTTCAAGCACTCTAAAATGTTCCATTAATTTCAAGGTCTTAAACTTGTTTCCTTGTCAAAGCGAGTAAGGCATTTTCTATAACATTTACAAATTTAATTTTTCCCGGTCCATTATAACGTGGTCAATATTTTCATTCTAAGTAAAACCCGTGCCAATTTGTTGATTTTTTATGGTGTATTCTCTGTTGACCTTAGTCAAGTCAATTTCGCGCTCTTATATAAGTGCGAAAAGCGATTTCGTGTTTTTCTTATACCTACTGAGCATTTTCGTGTCTTATTGTTACAACATGCTGCGTTTATTCAAATTTAATAAAGCTACGGTTCCTTATAGTCGGCCAAGCGCATAACCAATCAAAATGAACGCATTACAGCTCGCACGCTAAAAAGAAATCTCTCTCCCTCTCTTATGAACATCAAAAGCAAAAATCCTGAAACATAATGACAGATATTTTAACTCTAGCTCCATAGCTTGAAAACGTATTGGATTATAACAGACCTTCGCCATGCAACACTTCTAGTTCGTGACCCGAAAGATGTTTTGGTAATAATTTTGCGAAACAATTTTGCTTCGTTTTCTAAAATGACAAATTGTTCATATTTCAGACAAATCCGACGAAGTTTTTGCTTCTTTGGGGCGACTAAGCTAGCAATCTGTCGATCAGCGCCATGGATGAAACTGAACACCAGTTATCCATACCACTTAGGCTTCTATTTGGTGTGAAACTTTTCTAAAACAACCTCACATCATTTTGGTTTGGCTGTCAAATTTTTCATGTGAAATCGATCGATTTCTAAACCTCCAGGTTTCAAATGTTGGTTGTCAATTAACTGATGAATAAAATAATTTTCTTCTTTTTGTTTGAACTGTCGATACGAAACTTCGACGCAGGAATCCTTTGATTCAAGAGACCGTGCCAAAACACTGCTCATCTGTCAGCTTTGAGTTTTGATAATGAGATTCGATTTTTCTCAGTTTCGTGATCTCTGAAGAATATAAAATAACAACAATAAGGAAGGCATTTTCGTTTTATGCTATACTTTGAGGAGGACTTATGTACAGCTCTTTCCGCAAAATTGAAAATAGAAAAAAAAAAAACGCGAAAGGCTGGAAAATAGACATGTTACATCCAATTTGAATAAAATTCAAGTTGCTTTAAGTCAACACGGACAGTATTTGAAAACAATTCAATTTTATTGCATGGATAATGTTCCGCATGGAGTTGGTTAATAACATTAGCACACTATTTTATCAATTCAAGTTTTTAGCCCCTCTCTATCACAAAGAATCATTATCAAGGAGAATCTGAGTTTTACTTGGACCTGAGGTATTGTGTTCAAACCTCAAAAACCAAGCTTTAAATTTCAGAGGGCGCCCACTAAGTGATTAAGATTACTTTCTTTAGCAATTTCCTTGTTTGCGGATTAAGACTTCTGAATTTATTTTGTAATTTGGAATAGCCCAAGCAATCATAAAGTTGAGTAGATATAGAGGTAGAAAGAAACAAGGCGAAATCGTGTGTTTCTCTGCCCAAATTCGGTATATTTTCTCGGCTAGAAATTCATGACTTTCTGTCGATTAAAAAATTAGGAACAGGATTAACTGACTCGCACAGTTCGAGTTTAAGCATTATCGGTCCTGTACACATATTAATTTTATATAACTTAAAATTTTGACGCGCCGAATACAGTGGTCAATTTTTGTTATACAATGTTTGGTCACACCATAAACATGGGAGCAATCGCCCCAAAAATTGCTGACAAAGTCAGCTAAGTTATATGAATATCTTTGAGCATCACCGGGCAATACAGGTTTATCCCATTTAAGAAACAATTTATGAAAGATGTTACAAAACCTCTAAAAAATACTATAACGCTCAAAGAAAGTGATCAAGAGCAAGATACGTACTGTGGAATATTCGCTTTAAAAACCTAAACAATCTGCAATACTTAAATAGATTTTAATATTTCGTTCTATAATTCATATATCTAAATTATTTTACCACAATTTAGAGGCTACAGTTTCTAAGCATTAGTCTTTTCATACCCGCCTTTTCTCAAGTGCTGTTGTTCGTTATTCGCCAGCGGCGACAAATCAAATGAGTTCATCTGCTGCGTGTAACCTTTTTTTTTTCAGATTTACATGTGCTGCAACAGTTCTTTATTCAAATGGTTTGAGTCAGTGGAGTATTCTGCGGCGGCTGCTTTGCAGAGCTTTTGTTTTTTGGGCAGTACTTGATGGTGTGCGACTGGTCCCCGGATGCTTTGCAAAGAGGACATGTGTATGCTCTGAGAATTGGACATGTAGTGTTTCCCTCTGCATCCTTCAGAACGTGGCTTGAATAGACCTTTTTGCTTTCTCCGTTATTTCTGCAAAATACGCACACGTTCGCGTTTCTGTTCTTCTTACTTTCGCGGTTTTTTCGGTTGCGATTGGCGACTTCGCTGTTGTTTTCGGCGTTCCGTTTGGAAACGTTTCTGGTTGGCGCACCGGGCGCGAGAGATGAACCTGGCGCTTTTGACGTTTCAATGCACAGTTCAATGTCTGGATTTCCACCAGAACCCGAGCTCGTTAGAGAGTGATCCGATCCCACGCTGTCTACACGAGATCTTTTGGTGTAGGTAAAGTCATACAAACTGTCTATCCCTGCATTTCCTTTACCGTTCAACTCGGCATTCTGTACAAGTCTTATGAGTCCAAAATAATCCCTGAAAAGGCGAAATTCGCTCTTTTCGTCGAAGCTTGCCGTGAGGTTCGCTACCTCCCGAGCGCTTATCTTACTGTGGCCGGCAAAAATATCTCCACTGTAAAACACGCTCAACATCTCGTCTCCCATTGTTTCAAGGCAGCGACTCGTGAGTCAGTTTTAAATTAGCGTGAGGAATTTGGAGACTCTTTTTAACGAATTTACCCTGAGCTCTCCGACTTCTTGTGACCGCGACCGCCAGTAGTGAGATTTTGCACTTGTTTCGATCGGGGTGATTAACTTTGTGAATGAAGTGTACGGGTTCTGACTCCAACAATAGCACGTCGGCACCTGAGATTGGGAGACTTAAACTAATGCGTGCATGGACCTACAATTATACCCGCCATTCACCACCGACGGCAGCTGTCGCAAAGCTTTTCAAATGCAGTCTTGTCACTTATCATAGCCACTGTGAATAAGTTTGAAAGGCTCATTGAAAAATTGCTTTAAGGAGAAGCTTCGGACATGTGGTCCGATTGTTTCTATTCAAAACGATCATTAGATTTAACCAATCACATAAGCGCTGTAGACGCGGTTTAGAGTGGCGCCGCGTGCGTTTCATAAGTCAGCATTTTAAAAAGAAAACGGGATCGTTTTACATCGATTTGATTGGCTGCTCAATCTAAGTGCTGTCAAAAAGCAGCCTGATTTCATATGTAATTGTTTTTAAGGATGATCTAAAGTTGTCATTACGAATTCATTTTATAAGACAAAACAAAGTCGCACGTGGAATCCTGCTGAAAAACAGGCCTGTTAAAAATAGTCTTGGAAATAATCTACCCTATTTTCATGACTATGAGGCTTCCTAAATGATACTTCAAAACCCCATGAGCTCCCAATCAAAATTTCTTTTAAACTTTAAGTTTCTTTCCTCACAATCCATCGAAAAAAGGTTGCGGTTTAGAAACATTCAGGTTAGAAGCGAAACCAAAAAGGCTTACAATTCGCTAATGAAAGTTTTGTAAACACTGAAACATGCTGTCCATTTCGATTTGCCTTTCAAATTAGATATATAACTTTTGCTTCCAAGACGCTTTCGAAAGCGGTTGTGAGAGATAACAATTTAAAAGTTGGTTTTAAATCATTTGCATCTCCTTGATGGTAGCGGAGGTTAGCGAAAATCTTACGAATGGTCTTTTGCTTGGTTGTCTCTGCGATCTTTACGGGTGATCACTTTTAAGAACATGCAAAGATAGCGAGCTCTTGCGTTTAGCGTGGCTGAGAAATAAACATTGATATGGCAGGTGTTCTCTATGCTAATTATATCATCACAAAGGACAACTTTGGAATAAATTTATCTCTTAAAACTCAATATTGCATTGTTTAAGATACTTTCTAATGGCTTTGTTTTTGGTACGTTGAGCCGCAAATGTGGCAAATACATCAAAATCTGTATAGTTCATGCGGATGGCCCTTCCCAAAGCCGATGTTACTTATTTCCAGTCGCTTTAAGTGGAGTTAAATTATGAAATATTAAAAAAAAGGTAATCCGGTGTTCAAGTTCCCTTTGAATTTAAGTTCAATTTTTGAATTACCTCTGTTGTGAATAGTTTCTGATTTATTATTAATAAAAAGCCCTGTCTCATTTAGTCTGTGTATGCGTTAATTACAACCACCTCTCGAAAGTCCATTATGTGCACGCTTTTGTTTGAACATTTTCGGTGAGAATTGAACATGAAACCGGCAAGTTCTCAGCTTACTCAGTGGCGATCAATACAAAATCATTCTTTGTATTTCTAGAATACTACCTTTTTTCGAGGAGCCGTGTCTGTTAAATTTAATCATCCCTTCAGGAAAGTAAAGAGTTATAAAAACTTCCAATTCAATTTACCCGCTCAAAACTAAAGACAGTCTCTTACAGCGCGGAATGAGACATAAAATTGCTTACCCAAAGATCACAATTGCCCAGCATTTACATTCGAATTTCTGTCTTAGCTATGTGACCTTAAAACAACATACATTTTGAGGCGGAAAATTTTCTTGGATGCTTAAATGCTAACCTGGAAATACGCCATATTCAAAGTGTCGGCTCAAAAGTTAGAGCTGCATGTGGGTCGGAAAGCTTTTAGTGATGGACCAGAACATGCGGTCTTTTGGGGTAAATCTGAAAAATGATCCGCTTTCAAACTTGCCTTTTTATAGACGTATTATTTAAAATACGCGAGATTGGCTCGGATCAATTTGGCGGAGGTTCGAAACTAATCTAAGTGTTCCAGAGAAAATATGCTAAATTAATAAGTGCTTGTGGTCAATGGTGAAGGGACGGGTAACTTACAGATGTTTAACGAAGATATAAGTTCATTGAAAAGACCGTGAAAGGTTTCCATTCGAGGAAAATACCTCATTAATGTAGAGAGAGGTATAATTTTTCTCAGAAGAAGGCGACAGTTGTTTAGCTGCTTTATGGTCTTTCTTTATCTCTAATTAGACTGAGGTACTTTAAATGAACGAGAAAAGTTTTGTACAAAGTTAGCTGAAGTTGCTCCTAAATAATGAATTGTTACTGCTTGTTCATTGATTTTCTTTTTTTTTTTTTTTTTAAGTTTGTCTGATGTTTTGGTCAGCGCTTGATGAAAGATTAAAGTATTAAACTTGCTCATTATCCCGCTTGAAGCATTTCACTTAAGACACGCTAACTTAGGGTGAGAATACATCAAAATATGAGCCTCGATGTAGAATGGCATCGCCACTAGTTATAAAACCAATGGATCGGATATAGCGGATGAATTTTTCCTCAGTTTCATATCAATTGATTATACACCACTCCTCGTAACTCATAAATGCCAAGAAAATCAATTTTACAGACAGTTTTAAACATTTAAGAAACGGAGCACAGCAAACTCTGTTTACAAAGTTTTTTTTTTAAGAATATGCATTTTGTCAAATGTTACAGAACAATAATTTTGTGTTCAATCTTATTTGGAATGATGAAAACCGAATTACTTTTTAATGCATTTCTACCAATCTTAGAAATTGCCCCCGCTTCACTTTGTTAGTAACGGCAGTTTTTTTTTCGCGAATCAGCTCTACGGTGATCAAATGTTTATATATATGAAACAAATTACACGAGGTCATATGCACGTAAATACTGATATCAAACCACGTATACCCTGTATCCATGTTCCAAATGGCGTATGCTGTAAAAGCCACTTTTTGCTCAAGTTTTACAACAGGTTGCTGGTTTTTTATCGCAAAGTTTGTTTTGAACATCTAGAAAGTCGTTAAAATGGATGATTTCTGAACGCCAAATTGTTAAACGTTCGGCGAATTAACCGCTAATAACACGAACCATTGAACATCCCTGAATAGCCATCGCGGGGTCCACGTGTGCGAATCATTGTTTTTGTTATCAAAAGCTCTGCTGGAGATACGTTTGCAAGTCATACAAAAATGACGAGTGTGGTCAAGGTAAATAATTCATTAAATGACGTGCATTGTGAAGAACGAGTGTGGTGAAGGTAATTTAATGTGTATACTTTTAAACTAAACGATTCTGTGAGATTGAGTTATGGCGATGTATTTTGTAAGCTGACGAGATAAAATCCGTTACATTTCTTTTCAAGCGTTACTGACATAATTCGAAGATTAGCCGGTCTTGGATGCATACCCATTGAATCGCGTTTTTCATTCTGTGAATTAAATGTTAACTTTAGAGAATGAACAATAAGGGTGAAGAAAGATTTCTCAATGTTCATTGTTTATTTTTCTAATATATTCACAGGTATTATTCCATAGAAAATCGCCTACTTGATCCAAATTTCTAGAAGCAATTAACACTTTATTTGAGTTCCCTTCAGTTTTCGATTGTTTTGAAACTTCTTTTGAAAAAAATTAGCTAAAGTACGTTTGTAAAAAATGAATTGAAATCTATCAAACAAATTTCTCCGTGAAAAATTTCGTCTTTTGAAAAGGGTCTCTACAAGATCTAACATCCCCTAATTAAGTTAAAGTTCTGTTGGAAATTTTCCAGAATACGTTTTCAATTCACTGCTTACCACACACCGTGTAGATGATAAAATTTCGGACTCGTACTAACAATAGAGGAAGAAATTGCATGTACACCTTAATCAGAAACGACAGCTTCGCTGAGTTAGAACCATGGATGTAAGAACGCCTTCACACATGTGGTAAGGAGACCGCATTGTCCCAAAGAAGACGAGAAATGGACGTTTTTCGATATTTCAGCAGATTTCCGCGCATTCTGAAGTAAAAACAACTTATAAAAAGAGGAAAATCTTGATTAAACGCGCGTTTGTAAACCCTGAGAGTGAGAAAATAAATCGCAACTTGTCAGCGGTAGTGCTACATGTAAAACCCAGTTGCAACAATAGCAATTTGTACCATTTGCGCGAAAACTATCCCAAAGTGGAAATTTTGAACAACTCAGACTAGGTTTCCACTAGAGGAGAGTTTTCCGGATTGGAAAATCTTTCCGGATTCATCAATTTTGGAGTATTCGTAGGCGTTTACACTGAAAGAATGTTCGGATTCCTGACCGTTTACACACAACGACAACTCCGGGAACATTCGAAATGGAATGGTTACCAAGCCCAGTGTTGTTTCGTCGTTCGATCGACAAAGTGAAAATGCTTCCCCCAAAATGGCTAGAGTAGATCCAGATGCCACTGAGGCAAATTCGAGCTGGACAGATGCCAAGCCATCTAGTGGCTGACGTTAAACTTCCTTGCAATAATGATTTGCGTTTCCTCTGAAATACTGCAGTACACATGATAAAATTTATCGCCTGAACCTGCAACAAGATTAGGCGACCGGAGACCGCCAGCAATGTTAGCACCAGATCCTCCATTTTGGTTTCAGCGCAAAATCAAAAGATTGCAGACGGAAATAATATCCGGATTCGAGAAAAAAGCGTTTACACGACAAAACTTTCCGGATTCAAAAGTTATCGGATTCAAAGTTCCTACTTTAAATTCCGGATTCAAAATCTCCGGAGACACGACCAAACAGGGGAGTTTTTATTTCGGATTCGTCCACTTTCGTGTGAACGGCAAAATCAATCCGGTACTAAAACGTTTCGGATTCATCACGAATCCGGAACAATTTCCTCAAGTGTAAACCTAGTCTCAGTATCCCAGCAGTACAGCAAATGGAACAGGGATTTCATCACAGTCATTTTCCTATGCTTGAACACTTTTTTGGCTTTGAGCCTTGAGATTTCTTTTTCTTGATAATAGAATGTTATAGTAAGTGCCTACAAAATTACAAAGGTTCTTGTTTTGGTGTCGCATGGACCGAGGAGTACAGATTTGTCACTGATGAACCAACGGGCACAATTTTCTCAGTTATTAGCACGATAATCTCCACAGACTAACTTTATTAGACCGAACGATCTCCTTTAATTTTTCTTTCTGGTGAGCCAGCCGCCTCAGGAGGAAATGAAAGAGACCTTTGACGTCCTGTCGTGTAAATCACCGGGAGATTGCGTTATATTCATCTTTCTATAAGCTTGTAAAAGATATCCGGGAAAAACTTGTGGAAAATAATCGTGATGAAATCGCTGTTCTTTTTCCTGAAGGACCTGAAGCAATCCAGATCACGTCTTAACCATGGGGAGTTTCATTCCAGTTACGAGTTGCGATTTACGTGAGGATAGCGAGTAGTTTGAAAGGTGGAATTATGACACTTTGATTTCATTAAATCTTTAATTTCGAGCTTTGTTTTGTTTTTTTTTCTTGATCAAGACACAGAAGGAAATATTGACTGACTCGATTGCACTGCGGTAGTGATAAGTCTCTCGTTATCATATCTTATGCAAATGTTCTGACAGTTTTCTTACAATTTTCAGATGATTCGAAATATCTCAGTTCCTGTCACCCGGAAATGACAACTGCCCGGGCCCGCTCTTTGTAAAGAGTTGCATATGTCGTACAAACTGCTATTGTTGCAACTGGGTTTACATGTAGTACTACCGCTGACAAGTTGCGATATTTATACTCTCACCCTCAATGTTTGCGAGCGTTCAATAATAATAATAATAATAATAATAATAATAATAATAATAATGATAATAGTAGTAATTATAATAATAATAACAACTTTATTTAAGGAAGGTAACCCATGACAGTAATTCAACTAATGAACTTGTGGCCCTCGATAAATAACTGAAACAAATAATTCAAATTGAACATAACATTTTTAAGAATCCCAACTGGCTGGAGGCAAACCAGTTGGCTATTTACAAGCGTGGCCGAGGATTTGAACACGGAGCTACTATGAAACAAATCCAGGAAGTGGTCAGGGCGGGACTCAAACCCGGGAGTGGTGGATTGCGAGTCCGAAACGCTGCCGCGGCCAGGCTGCCTCGAAACGCTGCCTCCCAGTCAAGGTTTTCCTCTTTCTTTTTTTGGTTGTTTTATTTCAAAATGCTCGGAAATCTGCTGAAATATCGAAAAATGTCCATTTCTCGTCTTCTTTGGAACGATCTGATGAAAACTTCACGGAGAAATACAGCGTCACGCCATCGTGATAACGTACATTTTTATGATAAGTGACCGTGTTAGGATAGCTTCGTGTAGATCAGCCGACGTTAACATGTTTCAAATGACAGACAAGCACAACAGTGTATCTTCAGAGGATTTCGGATTGCTCGAATTCCCATGAAATTTATGCAATATCCGATTTCTGAGCTTCGTTCGCGAATTGCCACCATGAAAAGTAGAGGCCGGCCCGCAGAGATTTTTACTTATTTAAAAACTAGAATATTATTGCCAACTAAGTGCGTAGTTTTAAGAATCCGTGTACTTTTGAGGAAATTCAGAGAAACGTTTTCCCTTTGTTACCCTACAACCAAAAATGACCGAAAGTGTACCGAGACAAATAATTTATTGGTGTGTTCAAATTCACTCCCAGGGAAAATTGAATATATCAAAGTAAAAACGAATGATCTCTCTATGTATGCTAGAAGTACCAATTTGTAATATTGTATTTAGCTTGAGATATAGAAATAAACATTTTACACTTTTTTGCGATGTCTTTTTTTTATGAAAATGAGGCCCCAAGCCTCGAACAAGCAGCCGTTGTTACCGTGACAACAAGAGTGCTGCAACCTTTAAAAGGGCATTTTTTGTGCATCCCCTCTGATTGCCTAACTACATGCAAAATTTGAAAGGGGGGTTGAAAATGTTCGTTTCCAAAGATGTTTGATTCTTAAAGAGACTCGTTCTTAATTGTTATACATCTGTCATTGAAGGTCGTTTTAAATTTTAGTAAGCAAAGTCTTCGTGATACCAGTTTTTCCCACCGAAGTTTCTTTATAAGAGCTAAGAAGGATTAACTGGTTTTGTAATTGTGCCTTTTTCCAGCAATACAAAATGCAAATGATTTGCTCCAAAAAGAAAATTTTTCAAAAATGCTTTCTGTTTTCATTTGGCGTGACGACTCGTTGGCTGCAATCACGAGATACATCAGTCTTGGAGGTCCTGTCCCAGTGGACACCGGAAGCATCGTAAGTTGCTTCAAGCCTGCATTTCTTATACCATTTTACTCGCGTTAAGGCGGATAATTACTACTTAATTGCAGCATTCGTGGTTTGTTGGTAACTTTCCCAGGGTCCTGAAATTCTACATATTGGAATCCACTAATGGGCAAGAGCAGCAACTGGCCTTTGCGACTTTCATTATCTTCGTCAGATTCCTACATTCTCCTACAAAATGTGCTCCTGAGTTTTCCTGTGATCACTAAGGTCTTCCTTCAACATAACTGGGGAGCCCGACTCGTGTCCATAGTATTATACTGAATTCTCCCTCTCCGCTGACCGCTTGCGCAATCTGAACTACATCCATAACAGTTAACCGTGTTATTCTCCCGTGTAGTTCTGTTTTTTTAAATTCTTTCAACAGAAATACCAAATCGAGAAGAAAATATGGTACTGTGCATTCAATACGCTACAAGCTTGACCACAATTTTTCTGACGATAGCCTAGAGATCTAGATGTTAACCGGTATTTCAGCCTTACCTTAAAGTGTTTTCATGGTCCATTTGCTGAAAGCAATCAGCGCTGCTCAGTTGTTGTTTATCGAGAAACATTCCAAGGACCGCTTTGACATTGCGCTCTTTCTATTGTGATCCGTGGTATATATCTCTGAGAAATGCTATATTGGCGAAAGCTTGAAAGCAAACAATTAAGAAAATTAGAGGACCACTTGCTTTGAAACAAATTTTTAACATCTATCTATCAAACAAATACCTGGTTGGTTTCTATGGTCTCCTAGAACAAGCTTCTATATTCTATTCTCTTACGCAATGCCAAGGGAGCCCATTGTGTTCGTGAATCACAGTACTTTACAGATACTCATACACTACTTTCACAAATGGCTGCCGGATTAATATTCTTTTGTTTAAATTTAAATTAGCCTTTCTGGCCTCGTTCTCCTCTACAAAATTCAAAAGAATACATTGTCTCAGGCGAGGGAAGAAAGGCTAATTTAAATTTAAACAAAAGAATATTAATCCTGCAGCCATTTATGAAAGTGGTCAATGGGTTCTGTTCAAAGATGATTGGTTGTTGCCGAATGCACTATTCTCTTTTAAAGTGATGAAGTGAAAATAGTAGTTCATTTGAAAAACGTTTCACGGCCAAGTTTTGTTTAGTTGCACGTAAGTGCGCGAATTTTATCGTACAATTTTTCGGACCTTTTTGATCTGCCGTGGAGCTGCATGACTTAAATCATCTTGATTTTGCAGTAGATTATTTAAATACGAAAAGAAATTGTTTTGTGGAAGGTGCTTACAAGATGTTAACGCCTAGACCAAGGTTCATTTTATCTTGAAAATCACAAGTCATTGCTCCAGCATTCTGACCCTTTTCTTAAAGTTAATTCTCGATTTAAAGTAGAGTCGATCAAAATCAACAACTGTCTCTCATCCTCTTTGCTATTTCCTCTCTGTGCCGAACAGGTAATTATTAAAGAGCGTGGAGAAAGAAAATTCTTTTGAGACGATAGTCATCCTCGGTGTAAAAACCTGACGAGGATTTCTTTGTTTCATGAGGTATTGTTTTGATATACGCTATTGTTTATAATGTTTTGTCTTTGTTTCACGTCAGTCGCGAGCTTCACAGGTTTTTACACCGAGGATGAGCCAGACGATAAGTGTTTCAAGTTGGCATGGAGCAGTCGTCCTTAACTCCAGCAACGTTGACGCCAATGTCTTCGACCCAAGAAGAAAAAGCTGCTTTGACCATAAGACAAGTGGTGAATGTAAAAAACTCCAGGCTCAGAGGCGGCGAAGATCCCTTTTCGTCCCACAGCGATGTGAAACAGATTATGGGAACGCTTTGTTGACGCATGCAGATTTTCCAAAAGCCAGGATAAAGTCGCTTTGTGCGTTGAATAGGGAGAGAAAGTT